TTCATAACTCTATCGAATCTGCTTTATTAACTCGTATGACAATTTGTGTTTCAGACACCTAGTCGTAGCTAAGTTAGAATGTCTACCCAGTGTTGTCTTTGTTTTTATTTTATTTCTCTGTCTGTCAGTTTCATGCCAGTTAGACTTATGTGAACCAATGTGGTATATTTTGCATCGTTCTTAACATGGTTAATATCAATTATTATACGTACATTTTTATAATAATCAATGTGGTGTATCCGCAGGGGTACAAAAAGCAATGAGTTACATATTGTTTTATTTGTAGTTCCATTTATGCTTTGAAACAGCCGATATGATACTAGGCATCGTTTGGCTGTCAACCGCTGAACATTAATCGAAGCTTACCGTGACCAATTTAGAGCTTGGAGTTGTTTTCTTCTTGTATCATTTTTCCAACTGTCCCGTTTCATGACATTATTATGTATTACAAGCAAAAGTATTATTTACCACTGTTAAAAATTAAACTGACTATTAAACGTAGTAACTTACAATTAGTTAGCTGTCTGTAGGATATTCATTAGATATTTCTGGCCGTCTCAATTTTGTTGTTTATATAATCGGATATACGCTTCGTAATAACATTTCAACTTCACTGAAAAGCCTTTCACGTGAATCCTCTTCAAATAAAATTTAATGAGAAAATTCACTACTATATTCTGTAAAGTAGCTGCCGCTTTAAAATCACGGTCTGTTTCATTGCGCTCAACGCATTGGTTTTATTAATTACACTCAGAATTATTAATTATTCGACGTACAACATCAGAATAAATGAAATGCTTCTATAAATAAACTTACAGTATTGAACACAATTGAGACCGCTGTATTATATATAGACAAATATTATTAGAATAACACTAGTAATTATTATATGGCTCGGATTGTAACACGTGTTTCTGCTATAGGCGTGTATGGGGATGTGCAACGGGTGAAGATCCTCTACAATAAGAAGGATTCAGCTCTTATTCAGATGGCGGAACCACATCAGGCTCATCTAGGTAAGCGACCATAAACCCTATCGTTGAATGAATAGGGGTCGAATCGTCTTTAGGCGGAGTATTTGTTTAGGATTAAGAGTACCTTGTAAGCTTCCTATTTACATTTCCTGTACGCCGTACCCACTAATTATTAACCCGTAGGTGTAACTCGTGTGAAATATTATGTTTAGTATATAAAGGCTTGAAAGGTTTTTCCACTTGATACTTAATATGAATTTTATCAAAGAACAAAACGAACTAGCGTACCTACTAAGAACAGTAACAATTTGTGAGAAGAATTAATTTGAGATTTGTAAAGTGACCATCTAATATTAACGTTGAAAAACAACGAAATAACCTACTAAGAATTAAGCAACAAAGTAATACAGTGGCGGATTTGCCCTAAGACCACCCTAGGCCCGGGCCTAGGGCGGCCAATCGTGGCAAAAAATTCACTGATAATAATAAGAAATAACTCAAAGTACCTACATATTTTAAAGGCTCACGCACATTATCTCGGGCTGCATTGCACCGCATCGTATAACAATAATCTTCCTAAATCATTTTCGTACATTTTATTTATAAAATATAGATATATCTACCAGTAGGTACACGAGCGCTGAGAAAGGGGCGACAGGTACTGACTACATGGCCTGGGGCCTAGGGCGGTCAAGACTGCAAATTCGCAACTGAAGCAATACCCACATATTTTATCTATTATAAATTAAGCAAATTGAAAAACCTTATTTTGTCCATAGCCATGACTCACATGGACAAGCTCCGCGTGTTCGGTAAAGCCATGCGTGTGATGCTCAGCAAGCATCAGACAGTGCAACTGCCGAAAGAAGGACAGCCAGACGCTGGTCTCACCAGGTAAAAAAATCTTCCATATCTTAGCCCATATATATACCCACTTTTTAAAAGCAATACTAACCAACACAAACACAACACAAAACAACCAAGTCAATAGCTGAATAGCAAAGGGCTAAATATACTCTCTGAACTCTATAAAAACTCTATAAATCTACTACCTACAATAAATCCCATAATGTGTCGCTCTTCGCACAAGGTTCGCTCTCTTGGATTTATTCCCTATAAAACGACTACGACTTTTATAAAATTAATTCCAGGGACTACTCCCAGAGCCCACTGCATAGATTCAAGAAGCCCGGCAGCAAAAACTACCAGAACATTTACCCACCAAGCGCCACGCTTCACCTGTCCAACATTCCGTAAGTCTATGAAAAGGTTTTATAAGTATTCACGTTTTTGGCCCATTTGAAAGTGTCGTTACTTAAAATTATCTTTCTCTATACAGAGCCACCGTGTCTGAGGATGATATCAAGGAAGCGTTTACAAAGAGGGGATTCACAATCAAGGCATTCAAGTTCTTCCCGTAAGTTTAAAATTTGTTTTAAGCGATTTTTATTTCGATTTGAACATACATTTTGTTTTTTTTTTTTGGGGTAGTGTAAACAAATATTATTAATTTAATTCATTTGTTGTTTAAAAATACATTATAAACACTAGAAGTAACATAAATTAAGCATTATGTAATGTGAGCATTATGCGTTTCGGTTTTGAATGCTAAGGGTGCTGGTGACATTACAGCCTTAGGGTGACGGGCGCAATGGCAGTGCCCAAAGAATTTCTTTGCGATTTAAAGTTAAGTTCAGAGTAGCACTGGAATTACTATAGACAGGCGTGTCCCTTAAAACCAGACGCATGACTAGTTCGTCCCTTCACTAGGTATAATTTAAAAAAATGAGATGTATGAAATTTGGTTAGGGGATAATTTGGTTATGAACGATTGTTAGAGCACCAACTTACGACGTAATTATCTGCGATTTCAGAAAGGACCGCAAAATGGCGCTGGTGCAACTGCCATCCATCGACGACGCGGTGGCGGCCCTCATCAAAATGCACAATTACCAGTTGTCCGAGTCCAACCACCTCAGAGTGTCCTTCTCCAAGTCGAGTATCTAAATGGCCCCACCAAGTCTTCAGAATATCACACAATTACCAGTCGCGACTTCTCTCGACGCGGACATCGAGTCTACGCCTCACTAAATCTTTGACTTCACTGACGTGCACATTAGTTAAATTATATTTTAAAAAAAACGAGGCACGTTAAAGACTCGCTACCGCAATTGCGACTGCCACCTTACCTCTCATACAAATCGAGAATTTCACTCGACTGAAATTTAAGATATAATCTGTATTACGCTTACTCGGATCAGTCTAGAGATTAAGTGCTACTCTATTTTCTTATTAAAATACGTACGTTTACTGTTACCGTACATCTAAGATTGTCGTCATCACTTGCGAATGGCAGCTAAATGCTTTACGATTATTTTATCTTTGGACCTCTTGGATTTCCTCATTTGCACGCACCATCAGAGAGGATTTACTATTTTGTGTGATATTCATTCCATATTTTTAATGTCATAATTTTATTTTTATAAAAAGAACTATAATTATTTCCAGTGATTTTATACTATTGAATGATTTCCATATGTAATACTTATTCAAAATATCAGAATGGTATTCTGCAATTAGATTGCGCTAGATTTATTTTCATTTGGCAATTAATTTGTGTACGTACCTTTATGCAATGTGAAACATTGCTTCCATTATGGTTGTTTGAGTGGCAGTCTATTTTAACACCACCTTAAAATTTAATTAAATGCAGCTATAGCACATTGTTGAGAAGTATTTCTTTGTCACATATAATTTGCAGTTATTACTCTTAACATTATATTTTATAAATATATTTTATGCTCTATTTTAATATGCACAATTTATTATTATTGTATTTCTTTATAAGTAAAATATAGTTTTGTACGCATACACATTATCCTTACTCTATATTATTACTGAAATGTTATGTTTAGAATGTGTATGTGTGTGCAATATTAGTTGTATAGGGAATAATTTTAATAATATAAACATAACTGTTCGTTCATCACCGGTCGAGCCCGGTCTCTATACTACGGTCTTATTGATGCTTCCATATCGTTTCGTTGATAGGAGAATCTTCTGTTCTTTGTAACAATCATAGGTCTTGGATTAGTTAGTGTAATCACGACTCTTAATGCTAAGCATCTAGTTGATATATCACTATATAAACGTTATGTTCAGGGACATAATAGTGACATGATGCATTTATTTCGATGTTAATTTATGTTATTTATAGCACCAACATACAATAAATGCTCGTGCATTAGTTTCACTAAGCCGTTATAGTAGTAAAATAATTATTTATTTGCCTTTGGATGGGGAGCACATTAAGGCGCGGTGTGACCAATATGCGATAACGTATTTTTTTAGAATAATTTTCAATATATTAACTAAGATATTGGTGCACCGACGCCGAGTTAACACGGCGCGGTCTAAAAAGTATTAGCGAGATCTGATTACGCACTATAACATATTTAATCAGCAGTATTTACACTAGGTCACAATAACTTCACTATAAACAGTATTTTAGTTAAATAGCTCTCCTTCGATAATTATTAATTTTGTATATAAACAAACTCCAACTTCAATGATTTGTATTTCTCGCACTTTACTAAGTCCTCGATTGGTTTTCACACATCTTTGCCTTCTTAAATTTATTAAAATGCGTCTAGTCCAATGCAAAAGAGATTAATTATGTGGATTAAGTGATTTTATGTTATGGAAATCTAATTATTTTCTCAAATAACGAAACTCTGGTAAGGAATGATTTTGTAAAGAGTTAATAAAATGTTATTTATTGTAACGAGATTGGTCATAGAGTGAAGCGCAAGTGAGATACGCTCTAAATGTGAGGACCAGTGTTAAGTGTTCAGTTACACGTCCAGTTTTTGTGATTAGGCAAAGCATGCGTGAAACAGATACCTGAATTATGACAAGTTAAGAATTCAATATTGCCGATTGCCAATGCATATGAAAGTCGCAGAATATTGTGAGGAAATTGTACCTACTCTTGGCGATGCCACTGTCGGTTTTGGCCGCGAATTATTTGTACAATACGAACCTTTAGCATGGAGGTTCTTTTTAAATTTAGACAAGCTGAACAACTGAACGGGCGCATATGGCAAAATATCCACGGCCCAAATATTCGACACCCGCGAAGATCTATTGCCATTGTGGAAGGTTTCAAGGCCGCAGTACTCTTATCAATCCAATTATTTTAAACATATCCCTCTTTATTGTCACAAAAATAAATTTTTGAACTTTTATTTTAGAAAGCATTGTGCAGTCATTATAAAACGCATATTTACACTTATATAAAATGTATAATATACATCACGTATCGTTAATAAGGAATAAAAAATAGAGCTTAGTAAGATGATTAAAAACTGAAAAAAATTAGATTGTCATTACGATGTAAGATTAATAGAAAAATTTAATCATACAAATTGTATTAATCAGTACCTATCTACGGTAAGAACGTAAAAGTAGTTATTTTGTTTAGATAATGTTAGGTGACCAGGGTGTGGTGATATTTTGCACGTTTTTGAAAATGTTTTTCTATACGGTGCAGGATTCTGTGCCTGGGTATTGAAATGATATGACAAGTAGAACGACTTGTGGGGCTGCCTGGGGAGAGATCGGCGATAATCGCATTTGTAATTTTTAAATATAATTATTATTATTATGTATTAAAACAAAATCACATAAAAAGGAGATTACATATCCACTGTATTCCGAGTAGAACGCTACACACATCAATGTTTTTTTTAAAGTTAATTTTTTGCTCCATTGTTAGAGATCGTACGTACCGTAATCGTTTGCTTGTGCTCAATTGTAGAGATCGATTAAAGTGTGTGTAGCGTTTTCAGGCCTAAAATTTTCTCAGTAACATTGGTATTGACTAGATAATTTTAGGGATTTATGTGTTTAGAGAAGTATTTTAAATATTTAGATAATACGATAATATTATTAAAAAAAAATAGATCAGTGTTTAGAACGAGATGCCAAATTTAAAGTCAATACACATTATTTTAGGTAAATGGTAATTGAATTAATCTTAACATTTATTAAAAAGTTGATGGAAATGTTACAGTTAAATTATATTAGAGAGTTTTATTAAGCGCAATATACGCAATTTTATTCATTGTAAGTGAACATTGTTTCAATTTGTTAGTTAAAGTTATGCGTTGAAAATAGATGTGAGAGTTGTTTCGAATGTTTTCATTTATTCAGTCACTTTCGCGTTAATGATACTGTCATCGGTACTAAACAATTGTTTCCACTCTTAACGTGTACGCTCTTATGTTCTGTATCAAAAACATATCTTTTGCATATCATCTGGCTTGTAGATAATTTTATTGCGCTTCATATACATCTCTTATTACATTAGCTGTACTCAGTATGTAGTGTCTCATAATGATAATATGAATAAAGGCCAACATATCAATAAATAGAAATTTGGCTAAGGCGCATGTATTATAAACATTTCAAGTCCTCGAAATTCCGTTGAATTGGCCGTCTTGTGGCAACTTTAACTTTCATTTTGTTTCAGTGTAATTTAAGGTGTCGTCGTTTCTATTTCTCTTATTTTTAAAATTAAGTCTTTTGTGTGGTTAATTTCATTCTTATTTTTAATTTCATAATTAAACTATTATTATCATTGAGAGCTTTTTTCTTTATTTTTTTCCATCCCGTTTCTTTCCTCATTTTTCCTTAATCAATTGTCTAAAGTACGACGACGGTGCGGCGATTTGAAGATTGCATATTAATTTTATTTTTCATATTTTCCTATTTCTGAATTCCCATCATATATTTTACTTTATTTCATACTTTTTTATTTAAGATAATATTGACGTTGCCTACCCTTCTTTTGAAGTCAATAACAAATTATTTTGGTAACACTCAAAGAGATTTAAATATTTGTAAATACAACTATAAATTTTAAAGGGGATCAATATAATGAAAAGATGTACGTTTGTACACTATTGGTACTCTAGACATACTTGTACTTATAGGTTTTAACTATCCTGATGCGTATATCTATACTGTACCATGTTTAAAATTGTCTACGCTTCTAAAATCTTGTGAATGTCTCTCTCTCTCTTTCGTTTAATTGAGCCTCGGACTTGCATGTGAATTTAGACAAATCGAAAATTTTATTGAATTTTGTAAAAGGAGTAAGGGACTTTAAAATATTGCCAATGATATGTTAATATATTATCAAATGGAATATATTACGCACAGGGTATAATGTGAATAAATTTTATCACCGCTCCTGGCGAACGCCGGGGGCAGTGTTTGTGTCCGTGCCACGTCCCTTATTCCTACTGCGTGGAAAGAACTGAGTCATTCCATATTTGAAACGTTGAAATTAGAGAAATTATTGTCTAACTGCCAATTAATAGGCTGCAATTTAGAATTCATGACAACTTTAACAAGTTCAGTTCGTATATGAGATAGAAGATAAGCAAATAGTTACGCCTAGAAATCAATATATACATAGCTTACATATGTTCAGACCGTTGTAACAGTATCTTAAGACTTAATTATTCTATCTAAAAACCTATAAAGTGGCAGTTAGTTCTCGTATTTAATTATTAACCTGCGGATGTAAATATTATACATGACGTGTTAATAATTACAAATTAAAATTATAGGAACTATAATATTATATATAGTAAAGATTAACATAATCATTACTCTAAGATTTACTATAGTTAAAAATATCCTACCTAATTTCAGTAGTCGCTCTCTAGATAATACCTAAAGTCTACCTAGAGTATTATAATTACCTACCTTTGTTCTTTCCTGTTCTATATTACAGTTTTAGTTGTTTCAGATTAAATTTATGGTGTGCAAATTAAAGGGTTGTGTGTAAGTTAAAAATAGTTAAATAGATGTAAACAGACGTTCGTCTAACGGAATACTATCTTATGTTTTCAATGTATATCGTGTTCCTTCATTTGCTACTTATAGTAACAGGTTCTCTGAAACAATTTGAACATGTCAATAACTTAGAATAATATTGATTCAATATGCCAAAGACCAAATCATTGGGACAAAATAAACAGGGATCTTGATATTTTCCTCTCGACTCGACTTATCTTCCAGACTGTTGAAAAAAATTCCAAGCTTTAACGGGCATTTGAATTTCAAATAAAATATATTTTGATGATGGTTTGTGACAATTTTAATCTACGGCACCGATTGTCGGTTGCACAGAACTATCATACAGTTAAGTGATTTAAAATACACATTATTACTATACCTACATACACAAGTGACTACCCTATTGAACTCTAGATTTATTCTTTGTCATTTTATAATAAATATAGTTGAAAATCGTATTTTAGTTTCAATTCTGAACCTAATCCCTATATTTTTAAGAATAATAGTAACGTTCTCGAAATTAACAAACTAAAAAAGAAAACCGTTGTATGTTGAATGGACGTAGGGTCTAAACAATTTTCAGTATGTATCAAAGTACACTTTGGGTCTAACATAAAAACCACGAAAAAAAACATGTAACGAAATTTATAAAACTAAAACATTTAATTTAACATTAAAATTTAATTTTGTAACGTCGTTGCAGTCAGTACTGCCTAATTTTGCTAGCAAGGGCTCAAAAACACCATATTCAGCTTCTACTGGAAACTTAACAAAATGCACCATATTTAGCTTCGACTGAAAATTACTTGAACACAAGAGTAATGGAGTAGCCTCGTAAATATTACTTAATTTTTATTTATATTATGTCGAATTTTGTACAAATTCACTTAAAGACATAATAAAGAGTTAGGTACTTACATACATACAAATATACTACAAATATGAAAATTAGCGTGTACTATAAGAAATGTACCGTATTCTAACTAAATGTAAACTGAAATATTCGCAATACCGAAAACCGAGTTATAATAAAATCGTTACGCTTTCGAGTAATTTTGATGCTTTTCACAAAGATAAAATTAACTTTTGTTTTGTAGTCTTCCTTAAAAAATGCATTTGACATTATGAAAATTCAAGCTAACGTTATTTCGAGCAAATGTATTTTCTGGCTTCTGATAGATAATCCCAAGCCGTACAACCAGTACATGGACGTACTAAACAATAGCTCTATGAACCAGTACAACAATATTTTGTTAGTTATTGCTAACGTCTAATAAAAAAGTCATTTTAAAAATAAGATTGAAATCAAAGCGACTCTATAGTTTCTTTGTTTTAATCGATTGTGGTTCGAACAATTGAAAATGACCAAGAAGTTTATACATACTTGGTATTGACGTACTGTGTCTCTTTCCATCTTTTGAGCATGCAATGTGAAGAAAAAGGACAGTTAGCTATTTGATTATTTTGTGTGCATTTGTAATTTATATTTACGATTCATATAAATATATAAATTAAATACTGTAAAACTGCACAAAATAACATTTTTAAATGAGAACCTTAGAATAATAACGCATAGAATGATAATTTCATATCAAACGAACTGTCACAAGTGAGGCAAAAATCGAATTCATGCAGGCTAGATTTAGTAGTAGGTTAATTTTCAGTTTTAGTGAATATTTATATAAAAGTACAAGTTGAAACGCATTACTTCCTTATGGAATGTGACGTTAGTATCTATTTTATGTTTGTCTGACGTATTTTTACCCTCATTTACCGCACATTTCGTCATTTTTAGCTAAAATTCTTGAGCTGTTCGCGGTGCAAGTTGACCTTGAGCACTGAAGGCCCGCCCGTTCGTGTAGGCCCTTTTGGCGCGCTTCAATTTGCCTCACTTAGCGTGTGCGGGCTAGGTTTCTATGCGTTATTATTCTAAGATGAGAACTATGATAACACAACATATTTGTTTAGTGAAAGTATGATATAAAATCCTGTTTTTACATTTTACTGCAGTAATTTTTACAAGTTATTATTATATGGTACTGCATGTTTTGCATGATTGACAACCGCGTTGTCAGTCGAACAAAGGAAGACGGTTGAAAATTTAAAAATACTACTAAATAATTGTCGTTTAATACTCGCCCTTAAGCGATGAATTTTTGAAAAGTTTAAAAAATCTTACACTTGGCGTCAATTTCACAGCTTAGAGCTTAGAGGATGGAAGCTTAGAGGATGGAAAAAAATAAAAGCATACATTTGTAAGTCAATGGCATACAGCCATAGATTATCAGTTATTTCATTATAGAGTAAAGATGCAACCAATCAACAACTAGTTGGAGAACACATGAATTCATTCGCAATATAAATACATATAATAATAAACATAAAATGAACAATTATTAAAATGGTATTATGATAAGATATTAATTTAATGAGCAATATTAGAAAATCATTAGCTAAAAAAATGTTATGAAACTTCAAATGCATAAAACGGAACGGATAGCAAGGTCTGTAATAATCTAGGGTCGTATTCTAGAACTCTACTCACTGCTCAAGTTAGGATTTGAGTATGGTTTAAAGCACTCGAAATCATACTCAAGTCCCTTCAATTAGCGTCGTATTTCCAGTGCTTGAAATCATATTCAGATCCTGACTTGAGCATTGAGTAGAGATCTGGAATACGACCCTTAGGGCCATATTCTAGAACTCTACTCAATGCTCAAGTCAGGATTTGAGTATGGTTTAAAGCACTCGAAATCATACTCAAGTCCCTGCCATTAGGGTCGTATTTCCAGTACTTGTGTTTCCAGTGCAATCCTGACTTGAGCATTGAGTAGAGTTCTAGAATACGACTCTTATCGTATTCCAGAACTCTACTCAATGCTCAAGTCAGGATTTGAGCAGATTTGAATATGATTTCAAGCACTGGAAATACGACCTTAATGGCAAGGACTTGAGTATGATTTCTGGTGCTTTGAATCATAGTCAAGTCCTGACTTGAGCATTGAGTAGTTCTAGAATACGACCCTTAGAGGATGGAAAAAAATGTTCATAGTCTAAGGTAACAATCGATCATAATCCATGGTTTCAGGTTACAAAAAATGCATCAGAAATAAGATTAGTTTCTGATTAATTTAATTTCAATGAACTTATACTTCCTTTATTTTTTCCATCCTATACATCCTATAAGTCTTATACCGAAGTTTTTTTTTATTAATAATTTTGGCTTGGATACAAATCCTTTGAGCCATGTCTTCGTTTAATTATGTTTCTGTAAATATGCCGCCACAAAGAGGATACGCAATTTGAGGCGGCGTGCTTGGATTGACCCGGGATTCCTTAAAACGGGCCGATACGGGTATTTTAGTTCGAGATTAAAGCACAATATCACTATCCTATTCCACTTTAAAATAGATTTCACAAAATAATTGAAAGTCAAAATAAAAACGACACTTTGATACCCAAGTTACGTTCGTTCGGCGTTTGAAATCTGTCGCGCAACCTATGAGAACTTTTTTAAAAAATTGCGCGACATTTGCATTGACGGTGTTTAAGAGTTCTCATGCCAAAAAAGTTTTGACGTTGTCTGCGCCCAAATTTGTGAAACAAATATATGCTTGAAGTTCGCGTGACATGCGACAGATGTTGAATTTTGCGCGTTAAAAGTACTAAATTCGTTTTAGCGGAATATCTCTAAAACTAAAGGGATTTAAAAAAATCCGTAGTGACAGTTGTCGATCATCTTTATTTGTAAGTCAATGTCGATCATGCATAAATATAATTAATTATCTAATTTTTTTCCTAATAACCTGTAGCACTTCGAGGATAAATCGAAAAAATGTGAAAATTAGAGGTCATTTCGTGATTTTTATCTATCGAGGAAACTTAATTGTTTTATGTTTCTGATTAATATCTTTGTCTGAATATATCGTGTAGTTCCAATCGAAGATTACAATGTCAAAGGAAAACGAATTTATTTTGATAATAAAAACACGTGAAAAGTATTTTTTTTCCATTTGTTTTTATATAAATATATAAAACAAATGGAATCGTCCACCAGGGAACAATGCTATTTATAAGATAATAAATAGATATTTTATTCTGTTCCTATCCTTCCATAATCATCATCATTTCAGCCGATAGACTTCTACAAATCTTACCCAAAGATAGCCACAAAAAATTAAATTTTATAAATTAATCTTTTGCTAATAAACACAATATTTAAAATTTTTTATTATCTAGATTTAATTAAATCAAAATCAACGCTTATCCTATTTTGAATTATTTTAATTTTATTTAACATTCATTTTGTTATTATTAACCCGTAATAAAGATTTATTCGGTATTTATATACTTTGTGTAGTTTATTTTGTATGTATTTATTTTAAATCTTAATGTCCCTTAAATCCCCTATACACATTAATTCCTTATTCCTTCCAATTAAAGTTCTCTTGACAATTTTTCATTTCTCTTTTGGTTTTCCTTCCGCATCTGTTTCCTAACCTTTTACTTTGACTTTGGCACAATGCAGTCTAGCTAGTGCCATTATATTAAAAAAAAGATGGCAACAGCTGATCTGTCAATTTTCTTGAAATTATTTCTGATCTCAAGTGATTAATTAGTTTTATTACGATTTTCCACATTAAATAGGTTACATCTCTTATATATTTGTTATGTTTTGTTAATATAATTGTAGTGCTGACTACATAACACTCGTAATCACAATGTTACGATGTTTAGCAAGATGTAGACCTGCCTTCATAATTCCATTATTTAGGGACAGAAATGAAAATGATTACAATTTAATCAATACTCAAGCGGCGAAACCACCAGAAACAGGTTGGGAAAGGATCAAGAATATGTATACTTTGAAGTAAGTATAGTTTGCCAAAATAACCTACAAAATGTTTTACTGCACTCATTTTAACATACTGATCTGAGAAAAAAAAATGATATGTGTTTAAGCCATTTTGTATTTGATGTGTTGTGAACATCAAAGATTTTCATGCAATAAAGGCGGTCCCAAATGAATTCTCCAATTTTATTGGTTTGTGTCCAAATGTTTTTGATTGCTGCCACTCAAGTCTGAATAGCACGGCTGGCCTGAATAAGTTTTGACTTATAATTATTTTTTATTGTTTTAGTGAAATGGATGAAGTATCTATAGAATTACATACAGTGATTCAATCAACTCTAGGTGCTTCCGTCATAGGAGCATGCTTTGGAGGATTTGTGCATTCAAGAAATGCCTATGTTTACTTCATAGAGAATAATCAAGCTACTATTTTTACGTCCACCAGACAGGCACAGGTAGTGTGAATTTTATTAGTTTTTTAATATGGAAGAACATAAAATAACAGGAAAGTTTCATACTCTGAAATAGTTGAAGATATTAATAGTTTTATCCAGAATACAGTTAGGTTGGGTTAGTACTGCACTTTATTTATTTATTTATTTATTTATTAGGCACACCAACAGTTACTACAATAATTCAAGAGTAAGTAATACATTTCACAAACTAATCTAATTGCGTAACCATTTATAGGCGAGCACCTCAAGCAAAAATAAACATGTGTGTATAAATTAAAAGGAAAAAGAAGAGGAAACAAAAAATAACAAAAACAGTTTTAACAATTTTAAGACCAAGAAACTAACTTAAAAAGATATATATATTTTTTTAAGCAGAATACAAAACGCAACAAATACTCAACCATGTTATCTGATCGAACCAAGAAAAGTAAGAATATTGTTTCTAAAACCTAGCCGCGAGTCAATAAATATATAAATATGTTTGGAACAGTCATTATATAGATTAGACATGCGAGCTACAGGGGAGTTACAACCCAGTACCGTTCTACGACGAGGCGGGTGAAAAAGCCTTACATGAGATCTCGGAAGTCTGGCAGGAATCTTAAAATTTAAATTACCAAGCAATTGTGGACAGTCAACTTTATAGCGAACAATCTTATATAGGAAAACCATATCTAAAAGTTCTCTGCGCTTCGAGAGAGACGTTATTTTGAAATGCGCATTTTTATTTATAGAATTCGATTTGAAATGGATAAACAATAGGATCTTCACATTAAACATTTTCATTAGTCTAAAAGGCGAATAGCTGCAGGATTCATACGGCAATCACCCTTTTTGTAAAATTTTTAAAGACGTTTATAGTGTCACTGTCATTGTAACAGAAGTTATTGGGTTCATCCCATAAATTGAATAGCAGTGTCCACAAACACATTGGAAAAATTGTGTGTAAATCTTAAAAGTGATGAGTAAAATGTTTTTCAATTACTTTTAGACATCCATAAATAGTTTAAGAACTTTTAAAATGTTTCGAGAATCGAGTTTGCCAAATATGAATACAAGTTTAGTTCAGACATTGCACTGTGTGAAAGACATGGTGTAATACTATGGCACTACAACAATCCGAATATATCTGAATCCGAATAAAGGTCATACGGTTTGCTTGACAAGTCTAGTGAGTATTTCATAAACATATCAACACCTTACTTTTTCACACACTTATCTTATAGTGTGATTATTCAAGAGATGGCAAGAATTTCTATTTATTTTAAATTTCTTTAAGAATAGGTAAAAGCCAGTGTGTGAATATGAAGGAAATTTGATGTGAAATCATACTGCAAATATGTATATACAATGAATTTTTTGCAGTCCAGTTACTTTGTTTTTTAAAATACGAGTTTGTGAAAGTAAGGTGAAGATATGTACCTTTTTTTTGCAATATTAACATGTCATGTATATGTTCAGTATAATACCATGTCAACAAAGCCTTACCTAAGGTAATTTGATTTGTTCGACCTTTCAATTTTGTTTAAAATTCTAATTAGGATTCTTGAGGAATACTGTTAGTAACACTCCTTAACAAAATTTGCCATTTATATTCATGTTTTGTATTAAATTAAAATTCCAGAAAAAGTTACAAGATTACGTCACAGTAGCTTTTTGCAAAGGTGCATACCAATGGGGGTGGAGACTTGGTATATTTACTGGTATTTTCACGTAAGTACTTTAAATGTATATTACCTCCTGTCATAGCAATAATACATTTAGTAATTTAAGAATATACTATAAAGTGGTAGCAATTTTATGTCCAATGTGTTATGCTTTCAACTGGTTGTTGACACCGTGTGGTCACTGTAGTCTCAGAAAACTGTGATAATTAGAACATTTTTCTTTTTACAATTTTATATAGTAAACCAAAAGTTAGTTTTTTCTCCATAAATAGCAAAATGTGTTTTCTTTTTTGATCATTATTGGATCAGATTACAATTTGAGTTGGATGTCTTTTTGCATCTAATATATCATAGTTAGCTACTATTGTTATTGGCCCTAGATAGTATGGAAATGAGTGCTATCTTGCCTATTTGCTTGTGATCATCTCACTGCTGATAGATGATCACAAGTAAAGCTCTGCCTCTAGGCAGCAATAATATTATTACATACTCTGCAGAACATGAGAAGGCTATCTACCTAATTTAGGTCATTATGGTTACTATGAGCACAATATATTTTATTGTCTGTGTTATTTGGCTTTTACAGACCCATATTTTGTAAAATGTGTTAATGCCAACATTTTTAAATGTTAAAATTATACCTACTTTCAGTACAATAACAACAACATTGTCTGTGTACAATGGTAATACATCACTAATAGAGTATATAGCTGCTGGAACAATTACTGGAGCTTTGTATAAAGTAAACTTGGGCCTTGCTGCTACTTTTGTTGGAGCTGCTCTTGGTATGTACATACGTGTTAACCTTACATACACTAATTATAAAAATGAAATATTTATTTGGAGGAAGCCTACGCCAAAAGGCTAAATATACTATAGATAAAGAAGCAAAAAACAAAAAACAAATTTCACTGACAGATAGTTCATATTCGTATAGATAGTTCATATTCGTAGGAGCAATAAAAGCTAAAGTATAATAACATAACAAGAAAAAGAGTTCCTTTTCACTGTATCTCTACCTACTTCTTGTTGAGACCAATCCAATGAGTTCGAACTTGGTGGGTCTACCTTCAATAAAGTTTAGTTATTGTTTGTTATTGTTGTTTAGGTGGACTTTCTGGTCTATCATAAGACCCTAGTCACCTTTTCTATTCTCTTTGTTATAAGTTAAGCATTTGCATTTCGCTAACTTTCGAGATATTGACACACTTAGTTTCTTTTTGTTAGTAACATAATGCCAATTGTGCTGATTTTGCTTATGAATACAACTGAAAACTAATTAGGTAATTAAACTAAAAAGGATTTTAAAAAGATTATGAGAAAGTTTTGCTGATCCAAGATATGTATATCATTTTGATAAAAATGGCGAGTCACATTAATTTATGACAAGGAGTGCAGATCTGTAAGTCAATTACTCATCGAGAGTTACAATTCAATAGTTACAAACACGATATTTTTGCTGTAAGTGCTTGAGGAGCATTAGATCAAGATTACGACATTGTTGTAGTGTCATCGGATTTAGATAGTATACAAAATTTTTAAGCACCCATAGAGCTCCACATGAAGGAGTCCATCCAGGGTAGTACTGCCACCTTACCTACTTCTGCCGCCAAGCGGTAATGTCAGCATTACTGTGTTCCGATTTTGAAGGGTAAGGGTAAGGAACCATCCTAATTAAGTTAGCCTTCCTTTAAAAAAATCTGCTTTTGCACAGATAGACCGCACACAAAAGGTTTCATACTTATAACTTCCCTCTCTTTGCGTCAGGGGTTAAAAATAGGGACTACCAAATGGTAACATTGAGGAACAAATTGGATGTTTTTTTTAAACGCAATACACTCAGCCCCGCACTAGGGAAACCCTATCTCGTGGGCGCCATGGACACACCCATAAACAACCATGAATTTATCCCAAATTCACGAGAGACATAAATTTAGGCCATCCACGTATTTCTCCCGGCCTGGGAATCAAACCCAGGACCTATGCGTGGCAGTCTGGCATGGTAACCGTTCGGCCACAGGGGCAGTTTACACAAATTAAGAAAGTAATCTGTAAGTGTCATATTTTATGATTCGAACTATACGATAGGTCAATATAAATTTTCTATTGCACGTCGTATTTAAATCATGTCATTGGTCTTTCGAATTTACAACGCTCATAAACACTCTCATATTGATTTAAATCAGTGTCTATTCTTTTTGTTTCAGGTGCCATATTAAGTACTTTGGGTGGACTGGCAATATTAGGAGTATTAAAAATAACTGGTGTAACAATGGACGATATTAGAAGAGCACTATATTCAATTAAATCAGCTAGGTAAGGCCCGTTTGTATTTTATTTATAGTACTAATTAGAAAAAACCCGGTAAGATTACACTTATGAGTCTTATAGCACACAATGACATTTTATTTAAGGTTTTTCATTATGAACAAAAAAGATTGTTTTCTCAAAAACTTCTTTTGCTTGTTGGCGGTGCCCTTTTTAGGATTTCGCCAGCGTCAAGTTTGTAAAAATAATATAAAAATTATGGCGAACGTCGCCAATGTAACATTTGGAGTTACAACGTATATTTTTCGCAAAAACTAAAAATGTTTGAAATGTTCCGTAACTTGTTATCCCAATAGCCAGCTTACATGTCATGTGATAAGCCTAACAATCAGGAATGTCACAAATTAACGATGATATTGTCATGTATGTAATTAATTTGATTGCAAATCAGAATAAAACATAACAAATAAAAATGTTGTAGTTGTTCCCTTGTCTATTAAGTTAAACCACCTTGGTACACTATCTCTTTTATTATCGATGGTTTTATAGAATAGTAGCCTATTTCAAAAAAACAGTCGAAAAAAAAGGTGAGGCGTATCTGGCACACAAAGCTGACGACTCGTATGACGTCCCAATGTTGTCACGTGATTATTTCAACCAATGGAAAATTCGGTATCACAATAAAATTGCAAATTCTGAGTAGTGCTGTGTAAATAAATAAACTATTTTGATTTATATCACTACTCTTTAAAAGCAACAAAGTATAATTTTAGTAGCAGTAGAGCTCCTTGTGAAAGAGTTCGTCTAAGGTAAGTACTGCGACCTTACCTATTTCTGCCGCCAAGCAGTAATGTGAGCATTACTGTGTTCCGGTTTACAAGGGTAAGAGTGCTGGTGAAATTATGGGCATATGGGACTTGTCAACTTATGTCTCAGGGTAACGGGCTCAGTGGCAGTGCCTATAAGATCTTTGCGATTTAAAGCTCTGAATGGCACTGCAACTGTTATGGATAGGCGTGGCGCTTGGGCGACTTGTTCGTCCCGTCACTTGGTATTATTAAAAAAATCAATATTTCGAGGAAACGTACGTTAGTCAGTATGTTGATAAAGTACAAGTAAACACAGTAATAATTGGCATTTTTTTACAGAGAAGAACAAATGAGACAAGCTACAGAGAAAGCATGTAAAGAATTAAACGATCCACTGTTGAAGCATCACAAAGAAATTGTAAATGAACGAGGTGAAAAACCACTTGATCAAATGTGAACTAGATATGCATGGGTTAAGTAATTTTCTTAGGATGCTGAGGACTACATTGTATAAGGATTGGACTCCATTTGTCAGTATGTTTCGGCACTGCATCGATTCTAATTGCAAGTTTTCTATAATGAGGAGTAGACATGTGCGCCGCTGCCACCGATTACTTGAATCGGTGTGGCGAAAATTTGTTTTATTTAAATGAAGTATGTCAGCTGTATTATTTATTATAAAGTATTTTAATACAATGTTTCCGTACAATGAAGATAAATGACGTCAGTTGACGTTCTCATACTAATATTTTATTTTTATCTCATTGTTTTTTTTTTTCAAACGTTACTTGTATACAAGTGATTATTTTTAGTAACAGTACTTGCTAAAACGTTGAACATTACATTAATATAAAGCAGTGATTCCCAAATTAGTCTATACCGACCCCGAGTAGTATTGGGTTATAGAAAATTTCATTTGGAAAAAAAAATTATCTTTCAGGAAAATAAATAATTTTCCGAATACTTTTCCTGTATTTATTCACATTGGACCGTTGTCAAAAAAGACACCTGTTAAAAGTTGAAGATACTGAACTAAAATGATGGAGCCGTTATAGAGATTTTTTTTACCTTTCTTTATTTCGCTGTTGGCCAATAATTTAAAATTTCATTTTTCTGTAACTTACATTTAGCTATACAATTTTTATGGTAAAATTCACGCTAAATAAAACTTCAAGAGATATATCTAAACGTAGAATAATTATGAGTCTTCGAAGTATATTACCGGAAAAATTTCCACAGTTCCCCCGGGGTTCACTCTTACCCACAAAAGTCCATGCCAGCGAAAAAAATTGGGGAGTCCTTTAGACGTTTTCGGGGGTCCACGTGAAGTCGTGATCAAAATTACGGGTTTCCATAAAATAGAATAAACCACATTACACAGATAGTACCTTTGTATTTACATAATACTTTCTTATAATAGAAGTAAATTACTTATGAAGTAAACATTTCACAACAAACAAAATGTGGAGCTATTATAAATATATGTTCGGTTAGACTTCTTTTATAAAGTTTCTCACTCTACACTAAAACTTATCAAATTGAGTAGGTAGCACTGTATCAGCTGTCAA